GATCTCTGCGAGTTACCTCATTCAGAGCCAAGCCATGTTTTCTGGCCATTGACCTTGCGCTGGTGAATAATTTCCCTTTGTTTAAAGCACAGCAGCATAAGCAAAGTGCACCCCGGCAGGCTGGGGATTTAGCCACGTGGCGATGTGCACTCACAAGTCCTCACGGTACCTTTCGCAGTGATGAAGCCAGGGTGTTTTACTTTGAGGTCGGAGACCTAAGTCAGGTAGCTTGGATCTTCTGCCAAACGGCAGCTTCTCAGTCTGAGGCAGCTTGCTTTCTTGGGTCGTCTGCCCGCATCCCGCCAGTAACAGATTCATCGTGTCTGTCCTCTGAACGCGAGGACAGAGCGTGGCAGAGCAGCTTGTGCTTAGAGAAGGTGGCCTGGGGGTTTCATGAGACGCTTGTCCTGGGTTTGGCGAGGAAGAGATTGCGAGTGAACGACTGGGAGAGGAAAGGCTGTATTTCACTGTTATTTATCTTGTGTGCAGAGGAAAATTGAGTTTCTTGGAGACGTGAAACCCGCCAAGGCTTTGTGTTGTATTATGTGGTATGGGGAGCATTTGGATGGTGCCATGTTAATTTGCTTCTTGGGAGTGTGCGAAGCATTAGTTTATTAAGCACTTGTGCATGCTCTTTTTTACGTCATGGAAGCAAATCCCTGCGTGTCGCTACTAGGGAGAGCGTTTGATATGGAGCACATGACAGACCCAGCCTTGCGCTGCTCGTCTGCAGAGCTGCAGTCGTTTACATTAATGATGTCTCTCTGTAAATCTGCAGGAGCCCAAGAGCTCAGCCCAGCTGATGGAAGAATGGGGCCTCGATGACGTAGATTACATTTTCTCAGAAGAAGATTATCATACTCTGACTAATTACAAGGCTTTCAGCCAGTTTCTCAGGTAGGAAACTGTAGGTCTGGACGGGGCCTTGGGTAGTGGTTGAGATTTGGGCGTTGCTCAGTCAAGTGGCTGAAGTTGTGAAGTAAATTCTGCATCGCGAGCTCCTTGTTGCTTCTCCCTGCCTGACTCAGTCCTCAGGACTCCATCTTAATTGCAGGATTGACTGGAAAACAGCTGAAGTGTTTCTCTCTTCTCTCCCTCTCTCCAAAACCCTGTTTTTTGTGTGTGCTTATTTGAAAAGTTTCATGAGAAAAATTGAGTAACAATAACGAATTTTTGCTTGTACTGCGAGCCATTCAAAACACAACAGGTATTTCAGGAAAAGGCAGTCTCTGAGGAGGTTTAAGTGTGCTCCTTTATGTATAGTTACTTGTTTAAGAAAGCTCTGGTTTCTGCTGCCTTTCCAGTGGAGCTGCTACCACAGCAGCAGGCCACAGCAGTGGGCCACAGCGACCTGCTGCTGTGAGGCATGCACCACCATTTCTTAGGCTGAAGTACCAGCACACGATGAGCAGAAGCAGACGCGCAGTGAAGCGTTTCTATTAACGTGTGGTTTTCCCTCTCCCCTGCCCTGCAGGCCTCTGATCGCTAAGAAGAACCCCAAGATCCCCATGTCCAAGATGATGACCGTGCTCGGTGCCAAGTGGCGAGAGTTCAGTGCCAACAACCCGTTCAAGGGCAGCTCGGCAGCAGCGGCGGCAGCAGCTGTTGCTGCAGCTGTGGAGACTGTCACCGTCGCCCCGCCACTTGCCGCCAGCCCCCAGCAGGCTGCCTTGCCCACTGTCATCAGGAAGGCTAAGACCAAGGAGGGCAAGGGTAGGTGCCAGCTGTGGTGGGCTGAGCGGGGGGTCTGCTCTCACTGGCAGCGTCCGGCCCGCCTGCCGGGCCTGCAGAGCTAGCCAGCCACATCTTCAGGCTGGCAAAGGTGGGAAAGCTTCTCCAGGCAGGAGACATGCTTCAGCGAACTGGGCAAGTGAAGGTAGTGCCAGAGGTGTGTCTGCAGCTCCTGTTTCCCTTGCAGAAGTCCTAGAGGGGGCTGTGGTTTGTGAACCATGTTAGATCACCCTGGCAGCCTCTGGACCTTCTGGACTTTTGGCAGTTTGTGGCAATTAATGCTCACCTTCATTCTTATATCTTAAATAAGTGATTGGGCCATGTATTTCTGTGCCATCTTCTGTCATGGGGGATTCTGCAGGGTTGTAAAGCCCTCCAGAAACCAGCAGTATCTTCAGAGTCCGGTGTCTAAGCTGAAGAGGATTTGTAGGTTAGCAAGGCTAGGGCAGAGGTGCGTTTGCAAAGCAGGTGTGGTCTGGCCAGATGAACGTGCACTGTTTGGCGGTCGAGCCGGGTGCTCTGTTTCTGAGATGGTAAGGAGTTCAGTGATGGAAAGGCACTGGCAGTAAGGCTGCAGCTCTGTTTCAGAATAAAGGATTTATTCTCCTGGCAGTTGGGTGAAAGGCGTCTGTTTTCAAAGCCCACTTGCAAGGAGTGAGCCAACCATATAAATCTGCAGTAGCTTCTCTGGAAATAGTCTGATTTGTATGGAAAGAGTCTCTCTCTTGCTGTCAACATTTCCCTGTTTCTGATGGTAGATCGGTGCTGTTTTCCCCACGTTTGGAAGGGGCTGTGCAGAACACTGTAGAAGCTGGGCAGTAGTGGGAAAGGGAGGGGTCTCCCTTTGTTAGTGCTGCGTTCCTCCTCAGGAAGGTTGCTGTTCCACTTGTGCAGTCGTCAGTTCCTGATGCCTCGAGAGGTTTTGAACAAGAAGCTCAGAGCTGGCAGCTGACCAAGAGTGCAGCTTGCAGCAGCCTTCCCGCGCGGTGGGCAGTGTGCAGCGTTCCTGCCTCTCCGTGGCCGCCTCTTTTGTCCCCGCCTTGCAGACCCCTAAGTCCCTATTTGGTATTCGCAGCCCCGTGGTCCGTGGGCTGTAGTCCCTCTCCTGGATCCCAGGGCAGATGCTTTCCTCCCCTGATTCTTCACAAGTGCTGGGTCTGGGCTTGCAGCCTTTTGCCCCAAAGGACGTGCTCTGTGGATCGTGCTAGCTGCTGCCCTGCTCCCCGTGGTCCCCAGTGCTCTCTCATCTTCCCTGTAAATCCTGTGCTGGGGGTGGGGGGTGATTTGGGGGACAGCTGTTTGTAGAGTACCAAACAAGTCTTCTGTTTCTCCAGGTCCAGGTGTGCGGAAGAAAATCAAGGGCTCCAAAGACGGGAAGAAAAAAGGGAAGGGGAAAAAGATGGCAGGCTTGAAATTCCGGTTTGGAGGAATCCCCAGCAAAAGGAAAAAGGGCTCCTCTGTAAGTGTGCACCGCCTCTTTCTGCAGGGGGCCTTCGGTGCGGTGGGCACGGCAGGGAAATGCCGGGACAAGCCCTCCCCTAGAAGCCTCCCTCGTGTAGGGGTGTCACAGTCTTGTTCATGCCCCTCCACGAGGTGCCAGTCTCCGGTCAGCACATTTCTTCATCCCTTTGATAGAGAGCTGTGCCCAGGCTCAGATTTGTAAAGACATTGTGCCTGGGCGTGATTTCTGCTAAAATCATATAATCACATTTACTTTCAGTGATGAGGTTGGTAATGCCATCATTTCAGGTTTCATTTGCAAAGGAATTCTTCAGGGCTTGCACTCCAGCTGAACCGTATGTCAAAGAGAATTATCGAATGCTTTAATCACGTTAGCATAGCCTGCCTCCTGGCATCTGTGATCCCGCAGCATAGCCCAGGGGTACCAGAGCTTCCCGGTAAGAGCATGGCATCAGGGCTCTGCTGCAGTTTGTGTGCCATGCTCTTGTCAGCTCATGAATATCAGGTGTGTTTTAAAGAACAGCAGAGCACTTTAAAGAATAAATCTCTTAAATAACTATTGAATAAGGGTGGAACTCTTGTAGGTCTTGATAATATTGATCAAAATTCCATTAGTTCACCCTTATTGGAGCTCACTGACTCTCTAGTTCTAGTTGACATAACAAGTTGTAAATGACTTTGTGCATCAGAGATTGAAGCGAAAGGAGCAATCCGAGGCAGCCACTCGCTGCTGCACTTTTTCAATCACATGTCACAGAAGATTCATCCCATCTCCAGGTGCACTCTAGATCTATGCATTTGCATTCCTGAAAGTTACAAAGAGCTTGGGCTTGCTCCTGCAGCTGGAGCGCTAAGCACCCGATTAATAGTCTCCAGAAAAAGAATTCAGACGTGTTGTTATGTTTTGATGCCATTGAATGCCAGGCCTGTTTAACTCCTTTTACGTTATAAGGAAGGTCAAGCGTGAATGCCTACATGCATGCACACAAACAGGCTGACACAAGCTGAAACGGGTGTCGAGAGAGAGGGAGCAAAGTTCTGCCAAGCAGTGGAGAAGGGGGCCCCTGACTGCCCAGGAGTGGGAGTAGGGGGTTGTCCCCCCACGTGTCTCTGTTTCGGGTATCTGCGCCCACGATAACATTGTCACAGCAGCAGGGTGTTGCAGCTGGGCGATGCCTGATGCCTGTGAGATGCTGAGACTTTCCCAATGTGCCTGGCTAGCTGCACTGTGCAATATGTCTGCGCTCTGTGTTAGCGGGCACGGCAAGCTGCAGGGGAAACCCGGAGCCCACCTCTTGTCAGGGACTTGGCATGTTGATTTACGTATTTTAAACGTGCTCTGAGATTTGCTCAGTGATTGCACTTTGATGGTGCTGTGAACTGGACAAGCTGCCACCGTGCTGAGTAGTGCAAGGTAATTGCCTTCAGGCTCTAGTGACAGTCCAGATCTACGCTGATTGATTGCCTGGCTGGGACATCGATCTGATAGAGGAGATTTCCCTGCTTCCTAACGCCTTGTGACACACTCCTGTGAACCCTGTCTGTTGGTGCCAGGAGCGCGTTTGCCATGCTGTCATCCCTGCTGCTCTGGCTAGTCGATTCATGCAGAAAGGAGGGCGCCCTGAGGAGCTCAGCCGCTGGTCGATGATCCCACGTGGGTTTATGTGGGTCTCTGGGGGTTTGTTCTGCTGCAGAGTGGTGTTGTCTGGGAGTGACCGCTGGGATGCCAGTGCTTGGACTGTGTGTGCTCTGGTTTTCCCCTCTGCAGAGCGAAGAGGAGGAACGGGAGGAATCTGACTTCGACAGTGCCAGCATCAACAGCTCCTCAGTGCGCTCCGAGTGCTCGGCTGGCCTGGGGAAGAGAGGGAAGAGGAGGAGAAAGAAAAAGAGGAGTAGGCCATCCTTTGTACTCTGTTCCTGTTCTGTTTGGATTTCCCTCTTCAGATGGTGCTTTCCTGGCCTTGGCAGCTCCAGGCTGTCTGGCGCTGGCTTGGTGGGAGAGGATGTGCTTGTGCTTGTCTGTGTGTGTGGAGTGCGAGGTGCTTTCTTGGTGTCCAAGCCCTGCTGCTGGTGGGCTCGTGCCTGCAAGAAGGCAGTGAGCGGATCCCACCACGGGGTGCCGGCTCACCCCCACAGTGCCAGCGGAGCAGCCCGGCGGCAGGGCTTTTCTGTCGATCCGCAGTCAGCTTTCCCTCTGGGCCTCTCTCTGGCCATCAGCCACTGCCTGGGGCTCCTCTCCCCTCGAGCCAGCTCTGTGTCACCACTCAGAGTTGCTTTGGGAGAGCCGTCGTTGCGCTGCTCTGTCTTGCCGCGGTACCGTGGCTCGCAAAGCCCACCTGCCCCGTCTCGCTGCCTGCTCGCAGCCCCAGCCACCCCGGGTGGCTGAACCCCTTGCCTGTCCCAGGACCCTACCTGCTCTTTGGGCGCCGGGGCGCGTCACGGGCGGCGTGGGCAGCTGGCACCCTGCTGCCCTGCCCTGATCCCACCAGGGTTTGTCCTATAGCAGCCAAGTTCCAGAATTTGTGGGGCTTCCAGGGAAGTGATTTTCTGAGGAGCAGCCCCTGGAGAGACATGGCTTGTGGCAAGCTCCCAGCGGAGTAGGACAGGCTGCGGGCAAGAAAGCGTTAAGATGAGGGACTTTTTGTCTGCGTGAGATATGCAAACAGGCAGCAGGGAGGTGGTAGATCTGTGGTAGCAATGTAGGAAGAGGGAAGTGCGCGAACGGTGGTGGAAAGCATCTGTTGGGATCTCCCAGCGGCTGTGTGGCCATGTTTGTGTGTGTATTCCTTCATCCCTTTCCTCGCAGAGGGCTGCGGGTGGATTCTGCACGATAGCACCTCCATCCCCGCACTGTTGTTGAGAGCAGCCCCCCTGTGCCGAGCTGCCCCAAGCCCTGCTCCAGCTCCCAGCACCAACAGGGGCTGCCGGGGCCCAGTGCCGCCCTGCCCGGCTTCCCATGCCATCTCTGCCTCCTGCGCTGCTGCAGGACGCGTGCTGCCTTTCTACCTTGCGTCCTCGTTCGGACAAGTGCTTCAGATCCAGGCGCATCCTTTGGCTTCGTAGCTTTGCCGATGGGTTTTTGCTTCCAAGAAATGGAAGGGCGGCTTCTGGGCTGGGGGACGGTTAGAGCGTGATGCTGGCCAGCCTCCCTGTCGGTTGATGAGGCAGGGCTGGCCGGCTGGCTCCACGTCTTGCGTGTGAAGGGTGTCGCTTCTCCTCCCGGCTTGTTGCTGTGCAAGGGCCCTCGTGCTGGAGCTAGGCAGCTCCTGCCGCGTGCTGGAGGAGCAGAGGGTCGGAGGTCTGCGCCGGGAGTTTGTGGCAGAGCTGGGAATTGAGACGAGCTGTTCCAGTGCTTGCAAGGCCTTGTCCCTCCCTTCCTCTTCCTGTCCACGCTGACTTGAGAGAGCTCCTGCCTCTGTGCCAGTGAGCACCCAGGAAGAGCAGAGTAGTCCCAGGAGAGGAGTCCTCCTCCTCTTCCTCGGCCGTGTCACCCTTGCATGGTGCGTTTGCAGTTGGTGGCGCTGGTACCTGGGGAGGTTTCTCTGACTGGCCTCCCTTGCAACCTCTCCAGGTTCTGGCATTCTCCATTGAGAGCCTGAAGGAACCAAAGGATGATACAGTGTGGAGAGAGAAAGAGAGACAGAGGTGAGATGATGCTGTGTGCAAAGATGAACTGTGGTGCTGAGGGACAGAGAGGTAGGGGGACGTAACAGGAGGGGTCCGAGGCGAAACACTTTCCTTATTTCCTTAACTGTATCGTACAGGAGCAAGCGTCCCGTTCCCTCCCGGGAGAGCAGGCAGCTCTGCCGTCCCTCTGACTGTACGCCTGTCCCTTGCTTGCAGTCGAAGAAGGGGACGGGTACGAGACAGACCACCAGGACTACTGTGAGGTGTGCCAGCAGGGAGGGGAGATCATCCTGTGCGACACCTGTCCTCGCGCCTACCACCTTGTCTGCCTGGACCCCGAGCTGGAGAAGGCCCCCGAGGGCAAGTGGAGCTGCCCCCACTGCGTGAGTGGGGTCGGGGCCCCGTGGGTGTGGGCGGGTGGGTGGCTGGCGGAAACCCTCAGCGTTACTCTGGCTGTGCTTCCCCAGGAGAAGGAGGGCATCCAGTGGGAGCCGAAGGAGGAGGAGGAGGAAGAAGAGGAAGGTGGTGAGGAGGAGGAGGATGACCACATGGAGTTCTGCCGGGTCTGTAAGGATGGAGGGGAGCTGCTGTGCTGTGACACCTGCCCGTCCTCCTACCACCTCCACTGCCTGAACCCGCCGCTGCCGGAAATACCAAATGGTGAATGGCTCTGCCCTCGCTGTACAGTGAGTGTTACCAGCATTCCTCGCCCCGTCCCTGCTCCCATACCTGCCCAGCCCGGGAGCAGGTCTCCCAGCCGCCACTGCCCCTTGTGCCCTCTCCCCGTGCCGTGCTGCAGGGCCGGCGTCCTGCCCTCTGCCACAAACCCCCTCCCTGGAGGAGCATTGCTGCCGGTTGCATGCACCTGAGGGCCCTGGACGGCTTTGCCTCCTGCGTGGTCTCCCCGTGGGGATTGCTGGCTGGCGGCTTCCCTGCCAGTTTTCAGATGGGATGTCAAGCCCCATTTGATGCATGGCCTGTGTAGAGGTGCCTTTCTTGCCTGGTGGCAAGACCCGTCCCTGCGGGGGATGCAGCAGTGTCACAGACACTTCTTGGGCACGCCTGCGCTGGCCAGCCTCCACCCGCCCCACGCACCCTCACTGCCTCCTTTCTGCCCGCCCCGTTAGAGGTAACAAATGAGTAGCTCTGCCCAGGACCTGGGCAGCGCTTTGCCTGTGCCTAGGGGCAGTGGTGGTGTTTGCGGGGTGAGATAGATGCAGCCAGGGTCTGGGACCGTTCAGGTCACCCAGTTTGCCACGCTTGGCTCCTCACGGCTGGGGGTGAATCCACGGTCGCTCTCCACCCTGGGCTTTCCCTCTGGCAGCAGCTTTCAGCACAGGCTTCCTGGAGCCCTGGCCGTGCTCTCCCTGCCGCACCTGGACGGCTGCCGTCTGCTCGGTGTTGCGAGACCCCTGCTGCCCTCCAGGTCTGCCCTCCTCCCCGCGGTCCATGACAGGGGCTCACCTTAAACTCTGTGCTCTTGCCTGTTTGCTTTTTTTTATCCCCAGTGCCCTCCCTTGAAGGGCAAAGTCCAACGCATCCTGCACTGGGCCTGGAAGGAGCCACCGGCCGCCCAGCTCCTGCCCGTGCTGCCCGCCCCAGACGCAGAGCTGGCTCTCCCCCCGCCGAAGGTGCTGGAGGGGATCCCGGAGCGCGAGTTCTTCGTGAAGTGGGCAGGCCTCTCCTACTGGCACTGCTCCTGGGTCAAGGAGCTGCAGGTGAGCCAGCGCATTGTTGTTGTCCTCGTCGTTGTCGTGCCCCTGCCCAGCCCACTGCCCCACCGCCCGTGGGCTGAGCACGGCTCCCTCCTGGCGCAGCTGGAGCTCTACCACACCGTGATGTACCGCAACTACCAACGGAAGAACGACATGGATGAGCCGCCGGCCTTCGACTACGGCTCTGGGGACGAGGACAGCCAGAGGGAGAAGCGGAAGAACAAAGACCCACAGTACGCCAAGATGGAGGAGCGGTTCTACCGCTACGGCATCAAGCCTGAGTGGATGATGATCCACCGCATCCTGAACCACAGGTGAGGAGCCGTGTGCGGGGCGCGTGAACGGGCCATGGAAAGGCAAGTGCCAGGGTGCCTGAGCCCCTGGTAGTGCTGGCGCTGAGCGATGCCGTTGCAAGGCAGGGAGCGAAACAGCAAGGGTGAGCCCTGCTGCGCTCCCCGGGACCCCTGTGAGTTCTGCAGATGAAGCTTTGAGCAGTGGGTCTGTGCTCTCTGCGGGTTTTCCCTTCGTGCGCAGCTCTCACATGGACAGTTTACATGGTTAGCTGAGCCTCTGGGACTGCCTGCTGCGGGATTTCTGTGCTCGGCTGAGTTCTTCCCCCCCCGGGGCCGGGGAGTTCTTGCCATCCTTCTGCAAAGCCAAAATCTGGGGCTGGTGGAATTTCAGCTGCTGGCTTGTTTCGAGGTTTCTGTCACCTTGGAGGTTTGTTCCCGAGGTGAAGCCAAGGCCAGAAGTGAATCGATGCCTTCCTTATTTTCATTTCTGCTACACGGCATGTTAAAAATAGAGATAGTAAACTTTCCCAAAGGCGGATGCACAGAGTTGTTCCACTCTTCTCAGACATATTGTTTGGGTCCCTGTTACAGCCTAATCATTCTGTAAATTTCTGCTGTGACCCGGTGATGGGTCTTGCTTCCATCAACTGTGCCCTGCGGCTGCTGCCACTCACCTAAACTACTTTGGAACAGCAGCCTGTTCCCGTGTAGGTCATTTGTTCCTCTCAGAAACCATGCGCCCCCTCTGCACTCATGTCAAAGGTGAGGCACCAGCAGGGATTTGTGTACTACTCGCACCTGAGAGGTACGTTATCCCCGCTTACCTCCCCTGATGCTGATACGGATGGTGCCCAAGGAAAGGAGTTTGAGCAGGTGCCTGACTCCCTTACGAAGCCTTGACATTTGTGTTTCTTTTCTGTGGAAGAAATTTCCTGCGTATGAAATGTGCTGTGCAGATGTTTTTTTTACATCGAGCGGCTAGAGACACCTTTTTGTTGAATTTCTATGTTTCAAGTGGCAACTCTGCTTGAAGGCTGCTTGGCAGAAAAGAAACAAAGCTGCCTGGCTAATTTTCATGCGACCTTTACATTGTCTGCTAATAAGGCAAGGGTTTTTTCCCTGTAGGCATATAATCAAGACTCGGTAGTGTGTTTATTCATTTTTCAGTGTAAGCAAAACTTCATAGAGCAGTGAATGCTGCAGGAGAAAGAGGGTGAGTGCTGGAATTCATCCAGTCCTGGTAAAACAGGAAAACAAGGTTGTTCAGTGGAATGGAAGAGCAGCCTTTAAAGCTTAATGATTGAACACACACAGCAGATTAATAGGCATTTCTGCTGGAAAGTGTCGATACTTTCTTTATGTTTTTCTACCTCTGCTTGGATGTCGTGGTCTTGTAGGTAAGAGCAGAGGATGAAGCATCCAGTTTTGTGGAAGCAGGTTATGGCTAGCTCCTTCCCAGGGGTTGAGTGTCATTTCACTGACAGGCTTTTCGTGCCCTGCGTTACAGCTTTGATAAAAAGGGAGACGTCCATTACTTGATCAAGTGGAAAGACCTGCCGTACGACCAGTGCACTTGGGAGATCGATGAGATAGACATCCCATACTACGAGAACCTCAAACACCTCTACTGGAACCACAGGTACGAGCCAGCCAGGTGGTGGATCTGCAGCCGGGCTGCCGCAGCCTGGGAGAGCCAGGCAGAGCTGGGGCAGCCTGCGCCGGCGTTTGGGACAACCGGGGACTCGTAGGTGTCCCCCTTTTGAACATACTGGCACCACTCGCAGGGACCTCTCTTCAGAGAGCAGTGGCTGTGCACTTTTGGAAAGCTGGCCCTCCTGAAATGCCATTTCAGGGCTGCTGGGAAATCCTGCCTACCTGTTGTTTTCCAGCCTGTGCTCCCCTTCCCCTGCGTTTATACTGCCAGGATATTTGTGGTCTCACTGCACTTCAGGGCGGCTCCATGGCGCTGCTGCCTGTCTGTTTTGGGGGAAAACCACAGTACTATAATGAGATTGCTGTTCTTCATTTTAGATGAAGTTGCGTGGACTGTTGGGAGGGGAAAATTAACACTCTCTGAGTGCCTGTGCTAACTGGGCCAGAAAAGCTCCCGTGGGGAAAAGGCAGTGGAGTTTGAGAGGCGTTTCTGTCCCTCAGTTTGGGGACTGGGAGAGGAATGCCCACCTGCCTTTTCCTGATGCGCACTGGCTGTTGCAGGGAGCTGATGCTGGGGGAGGACACGCGCCCTCTGAAGAAGCTGAACAAGAAAGGGAAAAAGCTGAAAGAGGAGAAGCTGGAAAAGCCTCCAGAAACGCCTCTCGTGGATGTGAGTGAGAATGGTGGGGGCAGCACAACGGTGTGTGAGCCCAGAGAGAGGGAGGCCACCCCATCCTGTTACATTTTTCTCCTCTAGTTCCTTCCCATCTTTTTTCATTCAAAGCTCTGGGGTGGCTTCGCTGTGAGGAGCCTGAGGGCTGTGCTGTGCTGGGGACCATGTCTCCATCTCTTTTGGGGCTGTTAGGTGTCACAAGGCTAAAGAGGGATGTGCTTGGCCACAGAGAAAGGAGGGGGAGTTGGTTCTCACTGCTTTGCGTTGTCTCTCTCTCTTTTCAGCCTACAGTGAAGTTTGACAAGCAGCCGTGGTACATCGATGCCACGGGAGGCACGCTCCATCCTTACCAGCTGGAAGGGCTAAACTGGCTGAGATTTTCCTGGGCCCAAGGGACGGATACAATCCTGGCCGACGAGATGGGGCTGGGGAAGACTGTGCAGACTATTGTGTTCTTGTATTCCCTGTACAAGGAGGTGAGTGGAGCATCCAGCAGTCCCCAAGGTGGCTGAGAGCTGCTTGGTACAGGGAGAACAGCTTGGACTTTGTCTCCCTGAGCAGGGCCACTCGAAAGGGCCGTATCTGGTCAGCGCCCCTCTCTCCACCATCATCAACTGGGAGCGCGAGTTTGAGATGTGGGCACCCGACTTCTACGTCGTGACCTACACGGGGGACAAAGAAAGCCGGTCGGTCATCCGGGAAAATGAGTTTTCTTTTGAAGACAACGCCATCCGGAGTGGAAAGAAGGTCTTCCGGATGAAGGTGGGAGCTAAGTCTGTGCCCTACCCAGTACTTTAACCATCAGTAAGAAGGGGAGAGAGCAGAATTCGACCTGGAGAGGGAGTTGGTTAGGTCCCTAATCAGGTGTTTTCCAAAGAGGGAAGCTGGCACTGTTTGCAAATGCAGGAGATTTGTGCTGAGCTTTAAAGATTTCTGCCAGACCCTTTTCTGTTTCTGTAGTCCCCTACTTGGTTCTAACATTCAGACGGGTATAGATTTTCTGCTGGCACGACTCATGCCTCAGCCCTGCTGCTGGTGCTGTGCAGTACAGTGCAGGCAGCCCCCCATTTTCTCCTTGGGTCCCGTTGAGCAGCAGCAAAGGTGGAGGCCGTCCCATTCCTGGCTCTCTTATCCAGGCTTTTCTCTCCCTCTGCTCCTCCAGAAGGAAGCCCAGATCAAGTTCCATGTCCTGCTCACCTCCTATGAGCTGATCACTATTGACCAGGCGGTGCTGGGCTCCATAGAGTGGGCCTGTCTGGTGGTGGATGAAGCGCACAGGCTGAAGAACAACCAGTCCAAAGTAGGTAGCAGATGTTTGTGACTGATTTTTGTGGTGCGGCTCGTGCCACAAAGATACGACACCCCAGCACTGGCAACCTGCTGCTACGTGCTTTCCTCCCTGAGAGGCAGAAGATGTCCTCACCTCGCACAGGCTCTGTCTGGGACCCGCGTTTCGGTGGATTTGCTCTCTTTAACATCCTCTGGCATTAATAATCCTTCAGCAGTGGAAGAGGTGGCAGCCTCGCTGCCTGCCTGGCAACCTGACAGTCCTTTGATGGGCTGTCATGGAAGGGAATTGATCCCTCTCCTTCCTCTCCCCTTTACCTGAGGCTAATGCAGCCTCTGGCCCCTGGGACCTTCACACAGTCCCCAGCGCAGTGTGAGGCAGGCGGTGTGACCCAAGGACATTCAGGATTGCTGCCTGGGCTTGATGGGGATGGCTCAGAGCAGGACATATAAGCTGTGGTGTGGTCTGCTCTGTGTGCCTGGTGGCAGGGAGAGGTCACTGCTGACTCCCCGTGTGCGCAATCTGCAGAGTCCCCAGATGACTAGTCGGCTCCTCTGAGCTCTTTTCACCTAACCTCATTTCTTTTCCCAGTTCTTTAGAGTATTAAATAGCTACAAGATCGATTACAAGCTGCTGCTCACTGGGACTCCGCTCCAGAACAACTTGGAAGAGCTCTTCCACCTGCTCAATTTCCTGACTCCCGAGAGGTTTAAGTAAGTTGCGCTAGTTCTCCGCTCTGAAAAGGGAGAGCAGTCAGGACCTGGTCTCTTGCTGGCCAGCGGGGTGGCTCAGCAGAGGTTTTCCAGTTTCCCAAGGCTCCTGTCTGTGTGGGGGTGCCTGGATCCAGTTACTGCTGTGCCAGTGTCACTGATCTGCGCCGGCAGGCAGATGGCAAAGCACATGGCCCCCATGGTTTGTCATAGCAGCTACACACGCATTTTATGTAACCCCAAATTTATTCCCGTGGACTACTACTTTTTGGGTCCTGGGGGTAGCTATTGCCTTGCTATCGGCCAGGAGAGTTGTGCGTGAGGAACTGAAACCTGCTTTTTCCCTCTCTCTGAGGAGACAGAGGTACTTTGGGCAACTTGTTCAGACCTCGTATTGGTGCATTTAGCGCAAATTTCCCCTCAGCCATCAGTGCGGCTCCTCAGTCTGACTTTTGCTCTGCTCGGATACAGGCATGGGAGCGTTACCTCATCGTATACCATGAGAGCTCTGCCCTTGTTTCTAAGTCATAAAGAAACAGATATCTTTGCTCTTGCGTGTCCCATTATTGCTCAGCACTGTGTGGTTCTGGCTGCTTTCACAGTAACCTGGAGGGGTTCCTGGAGGAGTTTGCAGACATCTCCAAGGAGGACCAGATCAAAAAGCTCCATGATCTGCTGGGTCCCCACATGCTGCGGCGGCTCAAGGCAGATGTGTTCAAGAACATGCCGGCCAAGACAGAGCTGATCGTGAGAGTGGAACTGAGCCAGATGCAGAAGTGAGTAATTCCAGCGCAGCTCCCCCGGGGTGGCTGGCTTCCCTCACCCCGCCTCATCTGCAGCATGGTGGGGCGTCAGGGGAGTTCGACAGGTCAGAGACACCCCACTGTCCTCAGGCCTGCTGCAGGAAGAGCTGGAGCGCTTTATGTCTCACTGGAGAGTGTGTTCAGCCTGGTTAAATTGGGCTCCGTGCAGTCCTGGCTGCTCAGCGGGAAGCATTTAATGCATGGCAGGCTGTCAGCGTGGCTCTGCTAGTTCTGGGGGGCACAGAGAAAACACTGAGGCTGAACCCACTTCTCCTGTTCTCGGCACCGGGGCACCAGGCTTGCCTGGCGTCAGTCTGGAGCATCACTGCTGCCCCAGGGGATGCTTGCTCAGCTCCGTTTGTTCTGGGCTGACTTGCTCAGCTTCAGCAGCATCTTCTGCCAAGATTGGGGGATTTGCAGGGAAGGGCATGTCGCTTCTTCCCGGCACGTTGGGCAAGGCTCAGTTTACACCCAGCAGCGGGGAGCGTTCCTAGCCACTGTGCCCCTGAGTCCATCCCACTTACAGGGGCTGTGGTATCCACAGAGCAATTGAATAAACCCAGCCCCGGGCTGAGGGCGCTGAACCGTCGCTTTTAAAAACGTCCAAATGTCCCTTTTGAAGTGACGTGAGTGGGGTTTAATTCGGTGCTGTCCTGCTTACGCCAGTCCCACATCTGGCCGAATTACAAGTGTGTCTGTCCCATGCCTGTTCCTGCAGGAAGTACTACAAGTTCATACTGACGAGGAATTTCGAAGCCCTGAATTCGAAAGGTGGTGGGAACCAGGTCTCGCTGCTCAACATCATGATGGACCTGAAGAAGTGCTGTAATCACCCGTACCTCTTTCCTGTGGCGGCGGTGGTACGTCAACTGTATTTGCACCGTGGAGACATTTCTCAGAATATTGTGTGTAAGCCGTCGGTGGGGACTGTTTCCATGATCTTGCTTTGGTTAATGGCTCAACATCAATGGACCTGAAGAAGTGCTGTAATCACCCGTACCTCTTTCCTGTGGCGGCGGTGGTACGTCAACTGTATTTGCACCGTGGAGACATTTCTCAGAATATTGTGTGTAAGCCGTCGGTGGGGACTGTTTCCATGATCTTGCTTTGGTTAATGGTGTGGGTTTTCATGCAAGTGGTTTCATACAAGGAATTTGTCTTTGAAATGCATGTGAATTTCTCTTTGAAGTTAACGAGTGTTGTCCTCCAAGAGGCTAACCAGGATGCCTTCACAGGAGGCCCCGGTTCTGCCCAATGGATCCTATGATGGGAATTCTCTGGTCAAATCTTCTGGGAAACTGATGCTGCTCCAAAAGATGCTGAAGAAGTTACGGGATGGGGGTCACAGAGTTCTGATCTTCTCCCAGGTGAGCGTAGGGAAGGATTAATAATAAATACATTTTTAAAGGATTTTTTTTTTGTTCTGTATGAGAATTTTGTGCTAGGAACAGATAGAGATAGGTGGAAGAGCTGGTGACAGCTTATTCCCCAGATAGCGTGGCAGCTGTGGCAGTCACAATGGATGGACTGTGTCCCAGCTCTCTCCTGAGGGACTCCCTGTAATATTTAAGACCTCTTTTTATCTATGGATAAAGAGGAGATAATAGTGATAGTGCTCCCCTTCGGGGAGGGCCGCTCAGACACGGTTCCCTCGTGCTGGCAAAGCTGCCCCTAGAAGATGAGACGTGAGTGTCACTCCTCTGGCAGTTGCCTGTCGGCCGTATTCTGCCGTTGGCGGTACTGCCGCCACCTTGGCCTCTGGGCTGCGGGCACGGGCCTGGCCGGGGCAGGGCAGGTCCCCGGGGTATGCGAGGGGAGGTGGGGAGCCGGGCCGTGCAGAGCCGCTCGTGCCAGGGTCGCCTTGCCCTGCAGATGACGAAGATGCTGGACTTGCTGGAGGATTTCCTGGAGTACGAAGGCTACAAGTATGAGCGGATAGACGGGGGCATCACCGGCGGCCTGCGCCAGGAGGCCATAGACAGGTTTAACGGTACTCGCGTTTCTGCCTTGCCGAGGAAAGGGCGCGGGGTGGATTTGCAGCACGCAGCCAGCAGTGGGGTTGCCTGGCTGTGCCCGAGAGCCCCAGCTCACCTGCAGGACAGGTGGCGTGGGGTTGCCTGCGCATCGGTCGTGCCGCGCTGTCAGATCCAGCTTCCTGAGGCACAGCACGGGCTGCTTGTACTGCGTTGTTAAGCCCCTGAGTTGTGTCCCACAGTGAACCCGGAGCGTGCCAACGGCAGGCTGCTTAGTTTGAGGGACTCCGGCATTTCCCTTCAAGGCCTCAGTAGACGGCAGAGCTTCCCCTTCGGCTCCGGAGCTGCATTTTCTCCAGTAACTGGTTCCCAGGGAACGATGTATTTTCACTCCTTGCCTTCCCTGCCTGTTGCTTGTTGGCTTAGACTGACGGTTCCCCCTGTTTTATACTTAAAGCGCAGTACTGCACCTTTCTGCGTAAGCCGTGCTCCTTTCTGTCTCACCGTTTGCCACCTGTGGGTTTGTCTTTCTCAGCTCCTGGTGCTCAGCAGTTCTGCTTTCTCCTCTCCACCCGCGCCGGCGGTCTGGGCATAAACCTTGCTACGGCCGACACAGTCATTATTTATGATTCTGACTGGAATCCCCACAATGACATCCAGGTTTCTGACTTTTCCTTTTCCTTCCCGTATAGTAAGTACCTTTCTGGCTCAGCCCTCTGTTTGCAAACCCCGCACAGGGAAGTTGGTCTCTTCTCTCGAGAGCTGCCGACCCTTTCTGCAGGATTTATGGGGCGCGTTTCTGCTCAGGAGCCCCTTCCTGCATCCACCAGCCTCACCCCGGCCTGTCTGTGGTGTGGGAGAGACCTGGCACGTAAAACCAGCTGTCTTCCGCGGGCTTCTTGCTTTCTCCTGCTGCTTGTTCACAACCAGGTGTCCCCTCCTCTTTTGGGGAGCTTCCACTTGCGTTTCCAAAAGCCCGGGGCGGACCCTAGCTAGGGACTGACCGCCAACGGGAAATGGCAGCTGGAGCGGGCAAGCAGCCAATGCCTCTGAAAGTAATGGAAAAGTGAAGAGAAATGTGTATCCCTCCCATGCTCCCTGGCTGGGAGACGGTCCTCTCCAAAGCTACATCCACTGTTGCCGTCCGTTTGTGCCAGCGTTTCCTTTCCCTGGGTCCTAGGCAAGAGGATGTGCTGGTGCAGGGGGGTGAAGGAGCCGTCACGGGCCTGGTGAATCTGCAGCCGGAGGGTTCCTAGGGGGAACGTGTCCTTGCTGCCTGCCTTCAGACCCCTCAGTTAGGGGCCTACGTGGGGAAGCTGGCTTGCCTGCAGTCAGTGGAGGGGGCCAGCGCATTCAGGTTGGCTCTGAGGAGCCCCTCTCGCTCCACCGCCCCGTAGCAGCCTGAATGCTGAATTCAGCCTTGCCCTCATGGTGCCTTTGTGCACCCTGGAGGAGTGAGAAACTCAGACCCCTCGGCCGGCACAGTGTGGTGCCGCCCTCGACAGCTTCGTTCTCTGCCCACAGGCATTCAGCAGAGCTCACCGCATCGGGCAGAACAAGAAGGTGATGATCTACCGCTTTGTGACCAGAGCCTCTGTTGAAGAGCGCATCACCCAGGTGGCCAAAAGGAAGATGATGCTCACCCACCTGGTGGTCCGCCCGGGGCTCGGCTCCAAGTCGGGCTCCATGACCAAGCAAGAGCTGGATGACATCCTCAAGTTTGGGACAGAAGAGCTCTTCAAGGATGATGTGGAAGGTGTGGTCAGGAAGGCGCTGGGGATGTTCCATGTGAGGTGGAGCCCTGTCTGAGCTACTGGGGCTCATTCTCCTCTTCTCACGCCCGCAGGCATGGTGTCTCAGGGACAGCGGATCACCATGCCAGATGCTGTCACCCCTTTCTCTGACACGCTGTCAACCAAAGGGGGTGCAGTGACTCCCGGCATGAAAAAAAAGCACGGTGGCACCCCACCAGGTGTGTAGCCCCCCCTTGTTGGGGCGACCTGTCCCCCTCCCTGGCCCTGTGCCCAACCTGAGCTCGCCTGGCTCTGGGAGCAGGCTGTCTCCGGCACGGTGATTTGTGCTTCCATTCCCCTCGCTTTGCCCTCCAGGTGACAATAAGGACGTGGATGACAGCAGTGTGATCCACTACGATGATGCTGCCATCTCGAAGCTTCTGGACCGAAACCAGGATGCGACTGATGACACGGAGCTGCAGAACATGAACGAGTATCTCAGCTCCTTTAAAGTGGCCCAGTATGTTGTGAGAGAAGAGGACGGTGTGGTAATGTGATTAGTATCATGTCTTACGATCGCACCTCTTTGTACATCCCTCTGTTTGTGTTTCTTCCCCTCCCTTTCCTGTTCTTGCGAGTGTTTCGGTGCGGGGCAGGACTCCTCCCTGCTCTCTATCTACGACTGCCGTAGATTGTTCCAGACCTGGGGGTCCCGGGGCTGATGGGACTGGCTGCAGGCAGAGGAAGCACAGTTGTCTTTGTCCTGTGCAGCTCACAGTGCAAGCCGGGCTCTGTCCCTGTTGTCACAGGACCTCATTTCGATCAAAGCATCCGTAGGCACCTTCTTCTGTTCTTCTGAAGGCCCATGCACCCGGGCATGGTGCTGCTTATGTACCGCACTGCTGTTGTTTGTTTTCCCAGTAGCTGACGGACTTATTTCCTTCATCTGTTGATGAAGCGGATAGTAGACTGCTGTTCTGGGAGGCCTCTGCAGATCTGTAGTTTTTCCCTCGATGTGAGCGTGGGCACTGCAGGGCACTGCAGGGCGGGATGGATGGTAGCGTTTGGAGGAACTCTTTCTGGGTGGGAGGTTGTCTTGGCCCTTTGGCAACCTTGCACCGAGGTCAGTATGTTTGGGCAAAGAGCCAGGAGCCAAATTCCAGCCAGTGGCTCGGTGTTCTCCCTCCCTCTTTCCCTGGAGTGCCGTTAGACGACAGGCAGTGGGGCGATGCGGGCAGGTCTGTGGCTGCCCGATCTCAAGCCTCTTGTCTCTTGCTTTGCAGGAGGAGGTGGAACGTGAGATCATCAAGCAAGAGGAGAATGTGGACCCCGACTACTGGGAGAAGCTGCTGCGGCACCACTATGAGCAGCAGCAGGAAGATCTGGCCCGGAACCTGGGGAAAGGGAAGAGAATCCGCAAGCAGGTCAACTACAACGATGCCTCGCAGGAGGACCAAGGTACGGCTGCGGCCGCTCGGCTCCTGGCCGGGCTTGGGGTGGAGAGCAGGCCCTGCGGGCTGGCCCTGAAAAGCTGCACAAACAGGTTCCCTGATAGACATACTGGCTGCGGTGTGGTTTGCTTGGCGTTCCTCTGCAGTTTGGTAGACTGCATGGCTCTGTGTTTCCCACATTCCTGAACTTTCCAGGGTAGAAATTCTTCAACGATTTTTTCTTTTTATTTTTTGGTCTGTAAACTCTGTTTTTGCCAGAAGAATTTAGGAAAAACATGTCTGTGGGCAAAATATTTCAAATTGGGTTTTTTCTGTATAGGAGAATACTAATTTTGGAAAATCTGAGAATGTGATTTCCTGCTTGTTGTGTCCTTCTCTCTCGCTGCCCAGTGGTGGATGCCCGTTGCAGCTGCAGGCAGACTCTCGCCTGTCCTGCATGTCCCTCCTGGGCAGGGTCCCACTGCTCGGGCACTCTTCTAACCTTGCCTCCCTTGCGGTCTGCAGAGTGGCAGGACGAGCTCTCTGACAACCAGTCGGAGTACTCCATTGGCTCCGAGGATGAGGATGAAGACTTTGAAGAGAGGCCAGAAGGTCAGAGTGAGTTAATGCGTTTGATACTCCACGGGATTTTGCTCTGCGGGAAGCCCCTGGCACTCAGGTGCAGCAGAAACATCTGGGTTGGAGGGACTGGCGTGCTTCTGGGCCTCCATTCAGGGGGAGGCATCCCCACTGGCCTGCCAGGTGAGGAGATTCCCGGGGCAGGGATGGCAACCGGCTCTTTCCATCACTGGCCACCGCAGGACCTTGCTCTGGTCCTCACAGTGGAAGGATGGGGACCACAGGAGGAACAGGTATGGTAGCCCCTTGTCTGGTAAGGGCAGAAGAGCGTCCCGGCTTGGGAAGGCCAGCGGGATGGGTGGAAGGGACTTTGCAGCCTGGGCTGCTCTGCCCGGGTTCTGTTCCCGTTGGGAGGGAGTGCAGGGAGCTTGAGGCACGTGAGCACTTTGGCCGTCTTTCCTCGCTGCCTGGGCCCATCCATCACTGAGGCTGCTTGACTCTAGGTGGCAGAAGACAATCCCGGAGACAGCTGAAGAGCGACCGGGACAAGCCTCTCCCTCCTTTGCTGGCAAGAGTTGGGGGGAATATCGAGGTGAGTGTCAGCCTCAGCCAGAGCACGTCCGATGCAGTTGTGCCAGGGCTGCCCTGGGCTCGCGGGCTGGACTCCTCCGTGCTGAGTCGCCAGCACATTAGTCCTGGTCCGGCATGCCTGTAACGGCCGCGAGGCTCCGAGATGCCAAACGCTTCCGAGGCCGCATTGTGATCCCAGGAAACACCTCCGCTCCCTGCAGGTTCTCGGCTTCAATGCCCGCCAGCGCAAGGCTTTCCTGAACGCTATCATGCGTTGGGGCATGCCGCCCCAGGATGCCTTCAACTCTCACTGGCTGGTCCGGGATCTGCGAGGAAAGAGTGAGAAGGAGTTCAGGTACAGGGGGTCCTGGGCAGGCAGGGCGAGTTCTGTCCTGGGTTCTGGTTGATCGTGGTGAGCACTTAGCTCGCATGTTCAGGACAAACTCTGATCACCCTGTTGTCTTGCCATCTCTGGCCGTGCTCCCCAGGGCAAGGCAGAGGCTGTGCTGTGACAAAGCCAGCTGGGCAGCAGTAGCCCGAGTGCTTGCACACTCCCACCGAGGTTTCTTTTTGGGGAGGCCACGCCTGTTTCATTTGAGAGGGCTGCTATTGTTCTCTTTATGATAGGCTAAATCTTAGCCTGGGCATGAGACTGCCCTCACCCACGGGTGAAAGCAGACGGTGTGGGTGCTTGGCTCAGCAGGGAGTCCGTGGGCCAAGCTGGCCTGAGGTCTGGCTTTCCTTCCGCAGGGCGTACGTCTCTCTCTTCATGAGACATTTGTGTGAACCTGGGGCAGATGGTGCCGAAACCTTTGCGGACGGCGTTCCCCGGGAAGGGCTGTCACGGCAGCACGTGCTGACTCGCATAGGAGTCATGTCACTAGTAAGGAAGAAGGTGGGTGACTAAAACTTTAAATGTGCCCTTTCAGGTATGTTCTGGAGGCTTGTGGGTTTCATTGGCTGCTGAATGCCTCTTGCGAGGGATCCCCTACTGAATCTCCCAGGCTCAGTGCACATCCATTTTTGACCGGGCTGGAAATGTCTCTGCTGTGTTTGACTTGATGGTGTGCATCTGCCCTAGGTCCAGGAGTTTGAGCATGTCAATGGGAAGTACAGCACCCCAGATCTGATTCTCGAGGGCCCGGAGAGCAAAAAGTCCAGCGAGATTGTGTCTTCAGATCCCAACACCCCTGTCCCGGCCAGCCCAGCACACATGCACATGGGACCTGTGGCCCTTGCGGGTAGGTGTGCCTACAGGCTTCCAGGGGATTGTGGTTTTGGTCTGGCTCGGGAAGGGAGGTGGGCCAAGACACCAGAAGGTCTTGCAGGTGTCTGCCTACCCTGGCAGTGTGCGCAGCCCTCTGGGGCCCCCTTCAATAGCTTCCTTGCTTTGCTGTTGCTACAGACAAAACAGAAACGCAACTTGGGTTCCAGGAGGAAAAGGACCAAGTAGAGCAGAAGTTCAGGAAGGTGTCCGACAGCCAGGTAGGGTGGCTTCTTTCAGCATCTCCTCCGGGAAGCCTTCTCGTGGCCTGCCCAGAAACTTGGAGCTCTCCCCAAGGAAAGGGCAAGGCCGGGCTGATCTGGTGTGGGCACTTTATGTTAAGGTGCCTGCGAGTGCCGAGAAGGTGGAAAGCGAAGAGCACCCAGAAATCTGCGACAGCAAAGAGAAACTGAGGGAAGAGAAGCAAGAGGAGAGTGAAAAGGCTGAGCCTTCTCCTGAGCCTCTGGTGAAAGGTGAGTCTCTATGGCTCAGGCGGACGCGATCCCCGTGCGTGGGCTCCCCTCTCAGCCATGGCTGGGACTTCTGAGGGGCTGTGGCACTCAGCAGTGACACTGGTTTGCGCTGGAGAAGTTCTGCAGCTGAAGTTGTGTGGAGACCAGGGCGTGCACCCTAACAGCTTGGGATGCGCTGGTGCTCCTGATGGGCGGGCTTTCCCTCTGGTGGGAGGCTCCTACACTTGCACCTTGCTTAGGTCTTCCTCTTCTCCAAATCACAGTGGGAAACCTGAATGTTGCAAGGTCTTGTGGCAATTCCTGAAAAAACCCAACAATTCCAGATTGTACATTATGAGAAGTGCTCACTTTGGGGGGCATTTTCTGTTCCTAGCAATATGTTCTTCTGGATGTCTCAAGAAAGAGGGAAAACTAAATAAGTTTTCTTGATAAAATGCAGAAGAATATTCTGTTAGAAGTTTTTTGAACACCTTGAACGTACATACAATATAAACACTTTAAAAGGGAAAGTCTATCCAGACAATAAGTTGTTGTTCCCTGAAGAGCGTTTTGCATGTCAAGCTTTTCTCATAGTCCCGTTCCCTTCTGCAGATGAGGGGATTCAAGAGAAAGAGAAGCCTTTGGAGAAGCCGGAGTTGAACAGCAGCCCAGGGAAAGGGGAGGACAAAGAAGTCAAACCAGGTGAGGCATGAGGAGGCTTTGGGGTGAGAAATGGTGTGAAGGGTCTCCAAAGCAAGGCAGGTGCCTGGCGCAGAGGCGAGGGAGTGTGTCCGTGGGGCGATGGCGAGGACAGCCGTCAGCACCCGCAGCAGCTGGTGCTTGTCTCCTGGTGATGCTCGGGAGTCATGGGCGGGAGCAAGACCCTGTTATGGTGGGCTCTGCCTGTGCTTGCCGTGCAAACAGTAGGACCTGCTGGAAGAGGCAGATGGTCGGCTGCTGTGGAGCAGAGAGCAGGCTGGTGGCTTTTCCAACAGTGGCTTTAGCGAGGACTTCCTCTGGCAGCTGATGGGGCAAGGATGACGCTGGTTGGTCTTTTGGCAGAGTACGGTTAGACAGGTGCAATTTCTTGTGTTTGCCAAGCAGAGGATGCCAAGGCAGAGGAGAAGGAGCAAAGCGAGGCTCAGCAAAATGGTGACAAAGAGGAAGAGGAGGATGGAAAGAAGGATGACAGAAACGTGAACTTCAGATTCATGTTCAACATTGCTGACGGTGGCTTTACAGGTAAGAGCAAGAGACGAGGCATCGGCCGCTCCTGCAGAGCTTCTGCACAAAAGCTCTGAACCTGTGCAAGAAATGCGAACCATGTAAACAGACTGCAGATGGGACGGTGCTTCAGCCTCGCAGCAGGGTGTCTCGGTTTTGCGCTGTGCCCATGGCCACCCGGGAAATGTCATCGCTCGCCCTGCCTGATGCGCTGTGCCATGTCCCCGGCAGCCCTGCTGCCTGACCGGGCTGTCTCGCTTCTGCTTCCGCAGAGCTGCACACGCTGTGGCAGAATGAGGAAAGGGCTGCCATCTCCTCTGGCAAGATCTACGACATCTGGCACCGCCGACACGACTACTGGCTGGGGGGGGGGGGTGTGGTCTGCCCCCTGTTTTTTGGGG